TACCCAACTTTCACTTAGTCATTCTCATTCCTGTTTTTCTTGTTTCACATGGTGTTCACTATAGCACTAGGGTACATATAGCAAACAGAGCATGCAAAGAAGGTGCACCACCAACAGTTTATAATAACTACACTAAACTACAGCTACAGGCAGTTACATATATATTCTAACATTCATAACGAAGTAGCGCCACTTTACCGGTACCGCAATAGCTCATATAGCTCGAGAGTCATTCGAAGGTCAATAGACGAAGTTATGTAACTGTCGTAACTGTTGATCGTCCAGTAACCGTACTCGGAGGTAATAGTCGCGGTTACTGTAGCAACGCAATGTACCCCTAAGAGTACATGGCTAGATAGATTGCTATTTATATCTTCGTACCTCTATCTTATAATCATCTTGTTTCCTTTCAACTATTATTAACAAGGTCATTACAGCACTTCATCGTCTTCCTAGAACTTCGCAAATCTTGTCATATCTAATGCGAAACCCGGTTATATAAGCAAACACATAACTCGCATGGTGTTTGGGATTCGTCCTTGGATCGCATAGTGTTTAGTTTAGTTTTTTTTTCCCTTGTAATCCTATTTAGAGCGAGCTGATAAATTCTCGAGTTTCATATATTTCTTGCGGGATTTGATGTGTGACCATTTGCGTGAAACTCTGCTGGCTAATATTTGTCAGAATTATGTTGTTATAACTGCATGCAGTTCTAGCTGTAGTGTAGTTATTAACTTTGTAGGTGGTGCACCTCTTCATTTGTTTGCTATATGTACCCTCGTGCTATAGTGAACACCACCATTCTCTGTCAGAATCAAGAAGTTGCAAAAGAAGAATGACGAAAGAGGGGTTTCACTAGCAGCAGTTGGGGTACATATAGCAAACCCTAACTCGGTTGTACTCGCTGTAGAGCACCCCACTACAGGCTAGATAATAACATTCCGACACACCCCCATAGCCAAAGTGGGGTGTAATCAGCACAATGAGCAGGTATAGCAGGAGTTCACAATAATAAGCAAAGCTAGAGGTAATCACAGCGGGCAAGTGAGGAGGAGGAGGAACTGTGGAAGGAGAGAAGATGGGAGGCAACGACTGAAGCTGCAGAGGCACGGGCGACCGAAGCAAGGGCGACGGACTACTGGAGTGACTGGCTCCGCGGCTAAGACGAGCGGCAGGAGCAACGGACCCACTGGCGACTGGTGCAACAGGCTCACTGGCTACCGAAGCAAGGGCGACGGACTACAGGCGCTGCACGCGACACGACAGCTACCTCCACACAACCTCCTCCAACTGACCCACACCCTTGACACACACCCCCTGTTGAACCCCTAACTCCACTCCCACGTCACCCCCCTGGCTCCACTCCCCTCGGCTCCCACACCTCCACCCCCCTCAGCAGCAGCTGCAGCAGTGGGAGACGAACAAGGAGGAGGGGAGAGGGAAGGGGAGCACCCACACCGCACACCCCCATGCTCGCCACCCCACACCCCCCACCACCGTGGAACGCACGGCGGCACGGGAGGAGCGGGCAGCACGGGGGGGGGGGGGACGGGACAGAAGGGGGGGGGGGCGCGCTCCTCCTCAGGGCGCCGAAACGGACGGGCGGGGGGGCGCCCGCGGTTCCCCAGGGCGCCGCGACGGACGGGCGGGGGGGCGCGCGCGGCTCCCCAGGGCGCCGCAACGGACGGGCAGGGGCCGCGCGCGACTCCCCAGGGCGCCGCGACGGACGGGCGGGGGGCGCACGCAGCTCCCCAGGGCGCCGCGACGGACGGGAGGGGGGGGGGCGCGCGCGGCCTGCAGGGCGACGCGACGAGACGGGCGGGGGCTGTGCGCGGGTCCCCGCAGCAGAAAACCGCCGCGCGCCCCGAGCGCACGGCAGGAAGAAGATGTCGCGCGCCCGAGGCGCACGAGAAGTAGAACAGCAGCGGAAGCAGTTAGGTGGCGGGCCCACCCACAGGATCGACCCAAGGGGGTCGACCTGCTCTGATAGCATATCAGAATCAAGAAGTTGCAAAAGAAGAATGACGAAAGAGGGGTTTCACTAGCAGCAGTTGGGGTACATATAGCAAACCCTAACTGGGTTGTACTCGCTATAGAGCACCCCACTACAGGCTAGATAATAACATTCTGACATTCTCGACACTCCTCCTTGCCACAACTCACTCGACTCCCCTTGGCCTAGGCTACTAAGCCTATGCCCTCACTTAAACCTAGCCCCCACTTGTGCTACTATTTTGACATGGTATTCAAAGCAGGCACGTTCCTGCCGCCTTCCTTAATGGGCCCACCGTTAGCTTCCACTGCTCCTTTTCCGGTCGCGCGCCTCGGGCGCGTGGCGATTTTCACTCTGTCATGCGCCCGGTGGCGCGTGACATTTTTTCTGCCCGTCGCGCGCCCTGTGGCGCCGCGACGGTGCCCTGCCCGTTGCGCACCCCCGTGTGGCTCACGACGGTGCCCTGCCCGTCGCGCACCCCGAGGCGTGCGGCGGTGCCCTACCCGGCGTGACGCCCTGCGGGACCCGCGCGCCGCCCCCACTAGACCCACGCGACACCCTACAGGACCCGCGCGGGCCTGGCCTGCACCATGGTGCCACCCCCGCGCCTGCACTCAGTGCAGCCGCCCCTGCCTCACCTCGCGCCTGCCTTCGAGCAGCCGCCCCCGCACCTGCACTCGGTGCAGCCGCCCCTGCCTCACCTCGTGCCTGCCCTCGAGCAGCCGCCCCCGCGCCTGCCCTCGGAGTAGCCGCCCCTGCCTCACCCACGCCTGCCCTCGGAGCAGCTGCCCCTGCCCTACCCGCGCCTGCCCTCGGAGCAGCCGCCTCTGCCTTACCCGCGCCTGCCCTCGGAGCAGTCGCCCCTGCCTCACCCGTGCCTGCCCTCGGAGCAGCCGCCCCTGCCTCACCCGCGCCTGCCCTCGGTGCAGCCACCCCTGCCCTACCCGCGCCTGCCCTCGGTGCAGCCACCCCTGTCCTTCACGCGCCTGCCTTCGGTGCAGCCGCCCCTGCCCTTCCCTGCGCGCCGCCCCTCTGTGGCCGTGGGGCGGCTTCTTCCCCGCCACCCCCCCCCCCCCCCTCCTCCTTCGTCTCCCTGCTGCGCGTGCAGCCGTGGGGGGGGGGGGTATGGAGGTGGCGGGTATGGGGGTGATGGGTGTGTGTGATCCCCTTCCCCTCCTCCTCCTTTCTCTCCCACTACTGCAGCTGTTGCTTGGGGGGGGGGGGGGGGGGGTGTGAGGGTGTGGGGAGCCGGGGGAGTGGCACTAGGGACGTTGAGGAGTGTGCAGAGGGGGTTTGGGAGCATGGGGGAGGTTCCAGGAGGCAGCTGCCGTGAAGCCAACAGCCTCACCTGCCGCCTCCCAACTCCTCCTCCTCACTGCCCCTCTAGTGCTGCCATTTATTTTGTGAACTTGCATCTGCTCTTGGCTGCTGTTGCTATTTTCTTTGTCTGTGATGAACCCCTTCAGGTTGTGTCTTGCACTTGGCTATTCCTGCTTGCAGTTACGGGGGGATGTCAGAATAATATTATTATAACTGCATGTAGTTCTAGCTGTGATGAAGTTATTAACTTTGTAGGTGGTGCACCTCTTCATTTGTTTGCTATATGTACCCTCGTGCTATAGTGAACACCACCATTCTCGACACTCCTCCTTGCCACAACTCACTCGACTCCCCTTGGCCTAGGCTACTAAGCCTAGGCCCTCACTTAAACCTAGCCCCCACGTGTGCTACTATTTTGACAATATTGTCTCATTACGTGAATCCCGTTATTATACGCGTGAGATCATTTTAAGTGACTGTACAAGATTTTTTAACTATCACAGATGTTATTGTGGCTACTGTTTAGTTTTACCGGCATATTTTCCCTTGGGAAAATATGCCAGAAGTAACCAACTTGGGACTCGATAACGTGAATGGTGAAGAAAAAGCGCGTACGGTCACTGTATCGGGTTTTCTGACGGGTTTGGTAAATGGGGTCACGGATTCAGTCACTAACAATAGGTAAAAAATCACGCGAATGATCACACATGTAATCCCCGCAAAAAAAAAAAATGAAACTCAACAAAATTCCTGCTCACGCCCAACCAATCTGCTAATTTGTAAAAAAATCAAAACCCAGTCGGATTCGGATGCGGTTTGGGAACGGATCAAGCCTAAATACCAGATGAGTTACATGTTTAGGGTTGATTCATCCGAAAATATATCCAGGTTCTTTTTGGGTTTCATTTTGTTTTGTCGGGAGTTTCATCTGTGACCATTCGCGTTTTTTTACCAGTTCATAGTGACTGATTATGTGAAACGTATTATCAGTCGCGTGAAAACACCCTTTGCAGTGACCGTACCCTTTATTTTTTTACCAGAAATGTTATCGAGTCCCATGATGTTTAAGAATGGCAGATTTTCCCTTCTCCCTTTAATTTGTGTCAATCGCGAAAGTTGAAGTGTACAAACAGTGATCCATGGTTCGGCTCCTCCCACATGCCCCTGACCTTCGGAGAGAAAGTGCATCGCACTAGCCTTTTTCCGTCACGATTTTCTCCTTCCCCGTCAACTTCAAGGCTGTCTCTCGGTGTGACTCCACGTGGCGCTGCTCTGCCAGCGGGGCGCTTTGGTGACTGGCGGCGCCATTCCGTACCCCATCCATCTTCCACCGTGGTGTCGATGGTAACCCTGTCACTTCCAGTCGTGGAAGTATTGTAACGCAATCCTGTCGCATGGACTTGAAATCCCCCATTTGCTGATGACATGGTACAGGGAGAACGGGAGGTGACAGGGGTTGCAGAGCGGTGCTGCTGCCGCGTGCCTCCTTCCCCGCATCCTTGCCCTACTTCTCCACCAGCCATATTCCGCTGCACTCCTCGGCCGATTTGGGGAAGGCAGACGGAGATTGAACCACAACTGCACGGCCACAACAGTCCGAACAAGTTCTCAACTCGACGTGAACCTCGAGACAATGACACTGACACCAAGGCCGCCATGGCCAGGTCCAGGACCTTCGGGACGCCCAATGTCCATCAATTTCGAATCAGTTAGTAGTTTAAAGCCTAGATCTGTGATCGGACTGACGTTACGAGCTCAACGATACACTTCTTGTGTTCATACAGCGAACATTGTTATCGTTGGCTTATTGTCAGACAGTTTCAAGGCGCAAGCTAGCTTCGAGATTTCGTGTCCAAGGGATGTACCCGAGGCCTCAACCATTATCAATGTGACATCCTGGCAAAATGGGTCTTTCAAGGCGCTGCGACAAGTGTTCCAGGACTATATTTACCCCAGCAGAAAGAAGGTCAAACACAAGGCTACAAAGGAGCTTCCCGTGCTCAGTTGGCAATCAACGCTACCAGTCATTGAAAGGCTTTTTCAGTGGCTTCATCATCACACGTTGGCTCCCCCGGAGGCTGATGTGCCTGCTGCTACTGCTGCTGGAGGCATCCTGGGCAAGAAGGGGTTGGAGCATGTCACGCCAAGGACTCTTTTCAACGGTGTCCAGGGTCCTTTCAACGCGGAAGTTGTTAACGTGGTGCTGGCTAAGGCGTCTGCGTTGCACGTCAATGGCCTGCAGGGAGAAGGGAGCGACATCCACGGTCCGTCAGATGCGGATCCAGAGAAGCGTCAGGCCTCGTCATCAGGAGCGCAAGAGAAGGCCAAGGGTGTGGCCAAGGATGCGGAAGAGGATGGGGGTTACCTCAGCGATGATCCCGATGAGTGTCAAGACCCGGAGGCGATCAGCGACATCGCGACGCAGGCTGGTTTCGCCATCACGCTTCTTGTCCCTTTCAAGTGGCACGAGGAAGTCCCGCGTACGATCAACACTGTCGGCGAGTTGCTCCGGCTGTGGGAGGGACACATGACGGGGAACGCAAAGGTCACGACCAAGTTTCACAAGCTGACGCCGGCATGGCTCTCTAAGGAGCACTTCGGCCGTCTCCAGGTGGTGTTCGTTAATGCGGCGGATGCGAATTTTATGTGGAGCAGGAAGGTGGATCATTTCACGGCGTCCAACGTGCGGTTGACGCTCGGATGGCAGCACCCGGAAAATCAGGAGTACCTGAAGGAGCGTTCGGCGAGGCCAGAAGCCATTGAGGTGCTGCTGAAGAGCGTACCGGCGGTAATCTCCCCCGAGATGGTCAGGAAAAGCCTGGTGACGGCGACCCTGCTGAAGCGCAAGCGTACTGCATTCCTGGAGGGTTCAGCCTTTCATAGGGTGGTGGATCCGGTGACGGGGTCAGATACGGACAAGATTAAGGGGTTGGTGTTCCGCCACCGCGGGGATAAGTATAAGTGGTGGCATAAGGTGTCGGACAAGATCCACGGCACGGATCTGCTCGTCTCCTTCCCTTCGCTCACCTGCTCTTTTTGCAACGGCATGCACATGTCCTGTTTTCATGATGATTATGTGACGGAACGGCAGGACAATTTCACCAAGTGGAATGTGCCGCTTGCACGGGCGCATGAGATCAATGGTAATATCCTTACATCAAGTCTTGCTTTTCAGGCAGTGGTGGTTGAGGGTGGATCGACAGAAGCGGCTCACCTCTATCTTACTCCCCTTTCGAGCAGCGGCCTCCCTGAAGCTGACCCCAGCTACAAAGGCCATCATGGAAGACCCGGCGATGGTGCTTACCTCCACCAACGGAGTGCGGGAGGAGTGGCTGTGTGTCCAGGAGGGTTGCGAGAAGGCGCATGGAGTCACCTTCGCGCAGGCAACGGAACATGCGGCATCGGTCCGACACTGCACAGAGCGCCTCAAGGCGGGATCGGCGACGCGTCAGAGCAAGGGGAAACTGAACCTTCTGGCAGTCAGGAAGGCGTTCGGGATGTGATCACTCAGCGGCGGGCCCCTGACTGGAGCGGGTTCGGCGCAGTTGAGGGCTTCATGGAGATGGGAAGCAGGGAAGAGCAATGGCAGGGGAGTGTAGCATCAATGTTATCAACATATGTGTGTATGCAGTGCAATAAAGCCCGTGGATGCGAGGGGCTCGAGTCACGGTGGATTAATGGATAAACAACCCCAACTTACCATCTGCGGGGTCAACGTGAATGGCCTCGGAAGCAACGGCAAACGAACAAAGCACCGGACTTGGCTTAGGAGAGCGGCAGATGTAGTGGTGCTCTCGGACACAAGGATTAAAGAAGATCACAACTTCTGGAGTGAGATCAAATCAACGGCTTGGGCTACATCGAGCACGGACAAGGGTGCAGGAGGGGTGGCGATCATTGCGTTCAGAAGGCACTTACGGTTTACGGATGTTATGACCCACCACACGGGGAGGCTGCTTGGGGTGACGGTGGAAGGAGGCGAGACGTCATTTCGACTGATTGCGGCCTACCTCCCAGCGCAGCCGGGCAATCGGACGAAGTTCCATGCGGAGCATCTGGTCCCCTTCGCCCGTGCCCAGCCGGCGGGGATGCACCTGGTGCTGGCAGGGGATCTCAACATAATAGCGGACCCGGATATGGATAGGTCATCACACACGGGGACCAGCAAGGAAAACCAGAGATTTTTGGAGGCTTGGTCGGCGTTCGACCTCAAGGATGCTTTCAGGATGCTCAATCCCGGGGAGAGACAGTACACTTTTCACGCGCGGCCATCGGACACCAAGACCAGGATTGATAGGGCTCTGGTGTCGACCTCGCTGCTCGGGCATCTTACGGAGGCGCGGCACGTGTGGGTGCCGAAGAAGCTGTCGGATCACCGCTTCGCGATACGTGTCGGCCTCGCCTTCAAATCGGAGCACACTGGCGGGCCGGGGATCTGGAGGTTTCAGGCGACAAGGGCAAATCGGAAGGGAGTTAGAGCGGTGATTCAAAAGGTCATGGGGGGGACGGAGGCGCAGCGCAGTCGGACACCGGTGCAGAACCTCGGGCGGCTCAGTGCTGCTCTGCGGGTGCACGAAAGAGAGGAAAGAAAGCGGGTTACGGCAACCAGGGAGCATCTGGAGGCTGAGGTCACGAAGCTGAACCACCTGGTCATGGCGGGCCTAACGGATGCCGACATGAAGGAGAGGTTGCTGGCGAAGGAGGCGCAGCTGGAGGGTTATCAGGAAAGCGAGAGGGAGAGACTGCAGGTTTTGGCCGGGCTGGATCTGGAGCTACACGGGGAGGTCCCGTCGCCATACCTCTCTGCCAAAGTTAAAATAAGGAAGGACAAGACACTCATTAAGGAGGTTGAGTTCAAGGGGAAGCGCTTTCACGGCTCGCAGGAGGTGCTGGAAGCGGCTTCGGAGCACTTCCGGGACGCTTTCAGAAGCCAGGACGGTCAGAGCCTGCAAGAGGAGAGGAGCATTAAAGTGCTCAGAAGGCTACCTGAGGACGAGGCGGCGAAGCTGGGTGCCCCGTGGACGGAAGAAGAGGTGAAGGAGGCGCTGGAGGGTTTGCCGAGGGGCAAGTCGCCGGGCAAAGACGGACTGCCACCGGAGCTGTTCAGGATGCACGGGGATCTGCTGGGGGGGCCGCTGGTGGAGTTCGCAAAAAGTTTTGAAAGGACGGGGGTCCTGGACGAATCGATCACTACGGCGGTCACGGTTCTGCTGCACAAAAAAGGACCGACGGATCAGTTGGGCAACTACAGGCCCATCACTCTGCTCAGCACGCTGTATAAGGTGTTGGCAAAGTTGATGGCGAACAGGATTAAACGTGTCCTTCACCTGGTGGTGTCGGAGGAGCAGCACGGTTTCATCCCGGGAAGAACCTTGGCGGACGCGGTGTCGGTGGTAGCAGACGCGATGGAGGCGGCAGACAATGGGGGGGAGGATTGGTTTCTCCTCATGGTCGACTTCCAGAAGGCATATGATACGGTGGCGAGGCCGTACCTTTTTGAGACAATGCGGAAATTGGGAATACCGGAGGTTTTTATTAAGTGGACAGAAGGGTTGCATCGCGGCTCTAGGACGACGTTGGCGATTAATGGTTGGCTCGGCGAAAAGGTGGAGATGCAGAGGGGGGTGCGGCAGGGCTGCCCGCTGGCGCCGTACCTCTTCTTATGCGCGCTGGAGCCTTTGTGCCTGGAAATCAAGAAGGGTTTGGGGGTAAAACCGGAGGGAGGAACGGAGTTGGCATATGTGGGATATGCGGACGACACAACACTCATCCTGGATGGGGTCGAGCAGCTCAAGGCGGCGTCAGAGGTTCTGGAGCGGTTTGGGCGGTTGTCAGGCCTGCGGACGAACACGGAGAAGTCAGTGGTTATGCCGCTGGGAAGGAACAAAGGGAAACAGACGGCAGAAGGGGTACCTTTTAAGTGGGCGGAAGCCGGGGTGCCGGAGCGCCTGCTAGGCATCTGGATAACGCCGGAAGGGGATGCGAGCCCGTCCTGGGAGAAGGCATGGGAGCGGGGAAAAGGGGAGCTGGCAAAGTGGGAGTGTCAGCACCTCCTCACAGCGGCAAGGGTAACGGTCATTAACGCGTATATTATGCCGATCTTCATTTTCCAAGCGCAAATATACCCACCGCCGGAGGAATTATGGAAGCGGATCCAGAAGACGTGTGACAACTACGTCTCGAAGGGTCAAGCCACGGCGGAGAGAATCTTCGTTCTGTGGAGCGGGGAATTGGCGCGGCTGCCAAAGAAGGAAGGAGGTTTGGGGCTGATAGACCCCAAGGCGAGAATAGACAGCATGGCGGTCAGAATGGTGGCAAAGATGCTGGCGGAGAAAGACCCGACGAAAAAGTGGCTAGCGGTGAAAGCGGCAGCGTTGCCGCAGGGGGAGGCGACACTGTATGCAGACCCGTCAGCAGGGAAGCACTGGCCGGGGGGCAGCCGGCGCTGGAAGGCGGCAGTGGAGGCTTTCTGGGAGACCCCATATGCGCAGCTGCCAGAACCGGCGAGCGGCTGGGAGGTGGAGCAGGAGCAGCTGTGTTTCAACCGCAGGATTATGTACAGGGGGAAGAGTCCGTACGGCAATCAACAAGGGACGGAAGGGATACACAGAGTGAAACTCGGCGCGCTAATATCTGATGACATGGTAGGGGTGTGCACGGTGAAGAGCAAGGAGACAGTGAGGACGGAGCTGGGGGGCGTGACAGCGGCCAGGTGGGCGTTGATGGCGCTTGCAGCGACGGCAAAAGAATGGAAGGAAGTGATTGCAGCGGGGAAAACGGCGGAAAAGTTGGTGGCAGTGGCGACAGTTGTCAGAACTTTCTTACCACGGACACAGGAGTACCTTTACTGGAAGGTAAAGGGGGTGGCGGAGGAGATGGTAGCAGTAACGAGCCTGGAGGTAACGAAGGACGGGAAGCTGGAAGAATGGGAGACACCGGTCGGGGCGACTTTCAGGCCAAAGCATGTGGAACCGGTAGCCACCAGGGGCGGCAGGGTGCTGGGAGCGATGGGGGCCCCGGCGACACGGCTCATGCAGACTAAGTTGCTAGATGATGACGGGGCGCCGGCGAAGATTAAAGTAATTAGGCGGGTGCTGGCGGGGCCTGTGACGACATCTTGGAAGAGGAATGAGTGGGAAGCAGCGTGGGGGAGGAAAATAGACTGGAGAAAGGTGGAAAGCAAGAGGGACTCGTTGGTGACACCCATCAGGGCAAGGGATGTGCTGCTGAGAATGCACAATCTGAACCTACAGGTGGGCGGCAGGCTGAAATTCCTTGGGGAAAGGGCGCGCTGTTCACATTGCGGGGAGCCTGAAACCCTAGAACATTGCATGTTCAGTTGCCCGCTGGTCCAACCGGTGATCGGCGCGCTGCAGAGATCTTTGCAGTTGTTGGGCCAAGCGGGCAACCCGAACTCGCTCGGTGCGCTGCTTTTTGATGAGGGGGGCACGAAGTCAGGGTTTCCTGCGTCAACCTTAGTGGCCACAACATTCCGCCACATCTGGCTGGCGAGATGTGGCATGGTCTGGAGGGGGGAAGTTTTTCAGCGGAAGAAGGTGGCAAGAGGGGCAATCAGAGATTTCGCGCTGCATGCTCAGGTGTATCGCACGGAGCTGACTCGGAGAGCACGCAGGTCAGGTGCAGCGAAGCAGGGGAAGGACCCGTGGCGAGATCTGAAGGGTGACGAGAGAGCGGCGGTGGCTCTACTCAGTGAGCCAGGTGAAAAGGCCACGTGGAGCGATGGGTTTCTCTCCATCTGGCGCAATCCCAGAACGATCAGGCAGCCCCCGTAGAAGCCTCATGGAGGGGTGACCCCGGTAGTGGCACTAACATGTTGGTACCAGGGTAGGTCCTCTCCAGAAAATCAGTTACGACTGAGGATGTATGCGCTTTTATAGTGTAATAACATTCAACAAAAAAAAAAAAAAAAAAAAAAAAAAACAACTGCACGGCCATGCCAGAGCAACCCCAACCAATAAGCTTAGTAACTGATTATGGAATTCTGCGTCGTCTAGTGTCTTCGCAATAATTAAGAAACATCCCGACCCGACCATTCCCTTCAATCCCTGAATTCCTGTGTTTCGACGCGCGCGTAACGCTTTTCGCCGACTTCCTTTCCTCACTCGCTCCGTCGCTCGCCATGAGCGTCCGCGACTTGCGGTCGCCCTCGGCGACGACCCCGTTGCTTCAAGCCGCCGAGCCGCACCCATCTGCACCGCATCCGACCCTATCACCTGTAGACGGCTGCGACTCGAGCAAGCAGGGGCAGGCGCACATTGTGGTATTCGGGGGGCCAGCCAGCAGGCACGGGCAGGGGGCTCCGGATGGCGATGAGGGCGCGCAAGTGCGCGAGGAGCACTGGCGGGATGCGCAGGTTCCAGGGCACGGCAGCGCGCACGCGGGTGCGCACGGGCCGCACGGCGAGGTGGCGCACGTGGGGTCGACGCGCAAGACGCTGGGCAACGTGGTGATTTCGATCGTGGGCGCGGGCGTGCTGGGGCTGCCCTTCACGTTCCGCCAGGCCGGGTGGCTCGTGGGGTCGTGCGCCATCGCCGGCAGCGCGTCGCTCAGCTTCCACTGCATGATGCTGCTGGTGGGCGCGCAGTTGCACGGGGACGGCACAGGGGGGAGGGCAAAGGGGGGAGGGCAAAGGGGGAGGGCAAAGGGGGAAGGGCAAAAGGGGGGAGGGCAAAGGGGGGAGGGGAGAGGAGGGGGCAAGGCGAAGGCGGCGAATGAGTCCATACGGGAACGGGGAGGGGCTAGGGGATATACCATCGCTCCTCGCGCGGTCCTCGCGTCCTGACCTCCCATGACCATGCCTCCCCTGTGCTCCCCCCTCTGCCCCCCAATGCCACTCTCCCGCAGGTGCGGTGTCGGCGGCTGGTGGCGGAGAGGGGCGGGGCAGTGATCAACACGTACGGCGACCTGGGCTACCACGCGTGCGGCCAGGTGCGCTGAACAGCGGCTGGCGTGGCGTGGGTCGCATGTGCTGCGCTGCTTGCACGTGCATGCGAGGCACAGCACGGCAAGGGGATAGCCTGCGTGGAGGGTGTGGAGCGGGGGGCTTAGCACGGTGGAGTGCGCACGCACAGCATTCTGGTAGCGACATTCATGTTGTAGCTCAGCAACGCTGGGCGCGCAGACTCTATGAGGAGCAAGAGATGTGGAGGAGGTGCAAGGCGGCAGAGGTTGCAGCTGCGGTGCTGCTTGGCACATCACCACCCCCCTTCTTTTCCTGCACCCCTTCTTTTCCTGCACCCCTCCACCTCCGCCGCACCTGGAATCCCCTTGCCCTCGCTCTCATGCCATTCACCCTTTTTCCTCGCAACCACACGCCACGCCACTACCTCCCATGCTGCCGCAGCACCTTCATGCGCCCCGTGCGTGCCTCATGCACATCACGCCTCGAGAGTGCTCTCCCGCGCGCCGTGCCTGCATGTCCTCTGTGTGCAGGTGGGGCAGCGCGCGGTGGACGTGTTGGTGCTGGTGTCGCAGGGCGGGTGCTGTGTGGCGTACCTCATCTTCGTGGGGGAGAACCTCGCCTCCATCGTGCCCGCCTGCCCCACGCTGCCAGGCACCTCCGTCAGGACCACCCTCATCCTGCTGCTCTCGCCCCTGCAGGTCAGCACGTGGGGTCAATCACCACAGGGTGGGGGAGGGGGAGGGGCTCAGGAAGAAAATGCTGATTGCATACACGTGGGTGCGTGCACTGTTTCAAACAACATTGCATGGCCTCGCTTCTGTGCTGCCGTGACCTGCACCGGTGACGCCCATGCGCCCTCCCCCCGGCCCTGCATGCCTATCAGGTGCTCCTGGCGTGGGTGCGCTCGCTCACCGGCCTCGCGCCCTTCAGCATATTCGCTGACGTCGCCAACCTCCTTGCCATGGCCGTGGTCATCCGTGATGACGTCAGCAGCTTCACGCGGCCCACAGCAGTGTACCCGTGGACGGGGCTGGCAGCGCTGCCGTTCGCCCTGGGCGTGGCGTGCTACTGCTACGAGGGCTTCGCCATGACGCTGCCCCTCGAGGCGTCCATGAAGGACCGCAGCAAGTTCCCCCTGGTGCTGGGCGGCGGCATGTTCTGCATCACGCTGCTCTACATCGCGTTTGGCATCGTGGGGTACGTGGCGTTCCAGGACAACACAAAGGAGATCATCACGCTCAACCTACCGCGCGACCTGTCGACGGACGTGGTGAAGCTGGGGCTGTGTGTGGGGCTCTTCTTCACCTTCCCCGTCATGACGCACCCCGTGCACGAGATCTTTGAGCGCCGCCTCATGCTCACGCCCGCCTTCCAGCGCCACGTGCAGCCCTACCCGCGCCTGCGCCGCTTCCTCCTGCGCTCCGTGCGAACCCTCATCGTGCTGGCGGCTGCCCTCGTGGCGGTGCAGGTGCCGGGCTTTGCCACGTTCATTGCGTTTGTGGGGTCGTCCGTGTGTGCACTGCTGGCTTTTGTGCTGCCCGCCACTTTCCACCTGCAGATCCTAGGCAGCGACGCCACCTGGGGAGCCATTTTGTCTGATTCGGCTCTCATTGCGTTTGGCTTGGCCTTTGCTGCCTATGGCACGTACTCCACCATCTGGACAGGGTAGATGGCAAGCTGCATGTGGTGAGGAGACAGGGCGGAGAAGCCTGTGCCACGGATGGAAGCACAGAGTGGAGTACCGTATTTGTGAAGTAGCAATGGAGATGTATAATACGTTAGTGATTAAAATATGTATCAGTTTTATTACCTAAATTTAGCCGCATCCCTTTATTTAGCGGATGGGATAATCTGCAGGCAAATGCGATCTTTCCATTCTGCAATCTGTCCTATAATTTTTAGGGGTGAAATTGCGCGCATCGGCGGAAATCGCGTTTCTCTCAATTAAATCGACCTAAATTGCTCCGACTTCGCCACGTGGGCGTTTTTCATAATTGGATGGACCACGTTTGCCCCCGGGCCCCCCAACCCGATTTTCCCGCCCTTCCCCTCCGAAATTCGGGCACCCGCTGGAATTTTAAGGAATCACAAACAGTCACGAATACATGGTCCCAACTGACAAACTATAATGCTACTTGTGTTGTGTAGGCTGTAGTGTGGTAGCCTATATAGGGTACAACCCAATTAGGGTTATACTTGTACTTAGTTTGATGTCAATGCAATCATTCCTGCTCGTTAGTTTCTGACATGGTTTAAGAGCAGTAGGTCCGTAGGACCGTTTTTTTCCGGCCCACCATTTCCTAGTGACTGACTGCGGTTACTGCGTTACCCCACGCCCTGCCCTGCGCTGCGCCTATAGCGCGCGCCCTGCCCTGCCCTGCCTTGCGTCGCGCTGCCCCACACACGCCCTGCCCTGCCTTGCATCGCGCTGCCCCGCGCACGCCCTGCCCTGCGCCGCGTCGCGCTGCCCCACGCGCGCCCTGCCTTGCCCCGCGTCCTGCTGCAGCTCGCGCCCTGCTGCCCTGCGCGTCGCGCCTTGCTGCAGCCCTCATGTCGCGCCTTGCTGCCTTGCGCGTCGCGCCCTGCTGCCTTGCACGTCGCGCCCTACGTCTGCCCCGCGCGTCGCGACCTGCTGCAGCCAGCGCGTCGCGCCCTGCTGCCCCGCACGTCGTGCCCTGCTGCAGCCCGCGCGTCGCGCCCTGCTGCCCCGCGCCCCGCTGCAGGCCGCGCGTCGCGCCCCGCTGCAGGCCGCGCGTCGCGCCCCGCTGCAGGCCGCGCGTCGCGCCCTGCTGCAGCCCGCGCGCCGCACCCCGCTGCCCGCGCGCCGCACCCCGCTGCCCGCGCGTCGCGCCCTACTGCCCTACACAGCGCGCGCCCTGCTGCCCGCGCCGCCCAGGCCGAGTCGCGCCGCCCAGCCCGAGCCGCCCTGCCCAACCCGATCCACCCTACTGCTGCTACTGCTGCTGGTGGAGGTATTGCTAGGAGTGCTGGAGGTGCTGCAGCCTAGCCTCACCGAGCCGCTCTGCTGCTATTTTTGTTGTCAAACTCATATGCTCTATATGGTGTAGGCTGTAGTGGGGTAGCCCATAAGGGGTACAACACAATTAGGGTTTCCTACTTGTACTCCTGCATGCTGCATGCTGCTAGTTCGTACTTTTGACATGGTTTCAGAGCAGGTCCTAGCCTAGGACCGGTTTTTTTTAGGGCCCACCGAATCGCGCTACCCCACCAAGTCGCGCCGCCCTGTTAGTGCTACGCTGCCTTGCCCTGCCTTCCGTCGCACTGCCCGCGCACGCCCTGCCCTGCCCTGCCCGCGCACGCCGATTGCTGCTAACCGCCGCGCGCCCTGTCGTGCCCTGCCCGCGCGCCGTCAGTCCGCCGTGCGCCCTGCCCTGCCCGCGCGCCGCCTGTCCGCCGCTCGCCCTGCCTTGCCTGTGCGCCGCCAGTCCGCCGCGCGCCCTGCCTTGCCCGCGCGCCGCCAGTCCGCCGCGCGCCCTGCCTTGCCCGCGCGCCGCCCGTCCGTCGCGCGCCCTGCCCTGCCCGCGCGTCGCCCGCCGCTGCGCGCCCTGCCCTGCCTGCGCGCAGCCTGCCGACCGCGCGTCCTGCCCTGCCCACGCGAAGCCCGCCGCCGCGCGTCCTGCCCTGCCCGCGTGCCGCCCGCCAGCCGCGTGCCCTGCCCTGCCCGCGCGCCGCCCGCCAGCCGCGCGCCCTGCCCTGCCTGCGCGCAGCCCGCCAGCCGCGCGCCCTGCCCTACCGGCGCGCCGCCCGCCAGCCGCGTGCCCTGCCCTACCCGCGCGCAGCCCGCCAGCCGCGGCCGCCTGCAGCCCCGAGCGCCGCCTGCCACAGCCGCGGCCGCCCGCCCTGCTGCCCCGCCGGCCGCCTGCTGCCCCGCGCGCCGCCTGCCACTGCTTCGGCCGCCCGCTAGGCCCCGCGCGCCGCCTGCCCACTAAGCCCGCACGCCGCATCTGCGCCTGCCCCTATTGCGGCCGCCCGCTTCAGCCCTGCGCGCCGCCCCTGCTACTGCTGCTTGCCTGCAATCGCTCTGTCCTGCTAGTCCCTGCGCCAGCAGCTATGGCCACCCTCCGCGTTCGGTCATTCGATACTGAGGGCCGCCCGATTCAGTTTGGGACCTGGCTCGATGACCTGCAGCTGTTCCTAATGAGCGATAGCAAGGAAAATGTCTCTCTCTTTGACCACACGTCTGGTGCCTCAGTCGCTCCTGCTGCCACAGCTGAGCTTAGCGCCCGTTCCCAGTGGCAGACTCGTGACGCTGCTGCTCGCCTAGCCGTTCGCAACCACCTGACGTTAGCCGAACTCACGCATTTTGGCGAACATAAAACCGCTAAGGCCCCGTACGACGCTGTAGTTGCTCGATACTCCTCCCCTGCCACTGTTGCACTTAGCCGCCTCATGCTGCCCTTCCCGTTCCCTGAGATGTCCACCTTTGCCACAGTTGCCGATCTTATCACCCACCTTCGCACTTGTGACACTCGCCTTCACGCCGCCCTCCCCAAAGAGTTCTTAGCTAAGAACCCGCCTCCGATGTACTGGACCCTCCACTTCATAGTGACCCGTCTCCCTGATTCTCTTCTCTCGGTCAGGGACCAGTTTCTCGCTCACTGTCCCACCGATCTCACTATAGACCTCCTAGAGGATTAGCTTCTAGCCGTCGAGACTAGCATAGTCACTGTAGGTGCTGCTCGTGGCGCTCCTCGCACCCCCATCTTTGAGGGGTGCTCTCCCTCTCCCCTTGCCCCCTCCTACGCGAGGTGCTGGTGGGTGCGGAGCCTGGGGGTGCTGAGCCTGTGCGTGAGGTGGTGGGGGGTGCGGAGCCTGGAGGTGCCGAGCCTGTGCGTGAGGTGCTGGGGGGTGCGAAGCCTGGGGGTGCTGAGCCTACGAGTGCGGAGCCTAGGGGTGCTGAGTCTGCTGGTGTTTCTCTGGGTCTCTCTTCACGACGGGGGCCTCTCTCACCACAGCAGCTCTGAGAGTGGCTTGCGTGGCGTGCCCGCCTGAGGAGTCATGCTGCTGCAGCTGGAGGTCCTGCTGCTGGAGGTACTGCCGCTCGAGGTGCTGGAGGTGCTCGTAGTGGAGGCGCTGAGAGTGCTGGTGGTTCTGGTTCTGGAGGTGCTCGTACTTAAGGTACTGGAGCTGCCAGGGCTGGTGGTGCTGCTGGAGCTGGAGGTGCCAGTTCTGGGGGTGCTGCTGCTGGAGGCACTGTGGCTGGAGGCCCAAGAGCTGGTCGTGTCGACCCTGGAGGTGGAGACCATGGAGCTGGAGGTGCTGGTTCTGGAGGCCCTGGAGCTGGTACTGTCAACCCTGGAGTTGGAGACCCTGGAGCTGGAGGTGCTGAAGCTGGAGGCGCTGGAGCTGGAGGCACTGGCGCTGGAGGTTCTGGAGCCGCTAGAGGCGCTGGAGCTGCCGGTGAAGGTACTGGTGGCACTGTGGGCTCTAGAGCTGGAGATGCTGGAGTTAGAGGCGCTGGTGCTGGAGATTCTGGAGCTGCTGGAGGCGCTGGCGCTCCTGGTGTTCGTACTAGAGGTGCTGGTGGCACTGCGGGCTCTGGAGCTGGAGGCGCTAGAGCTGGAGGTTCTAGAGCTCTTGGAGGCGCTGGAGCTGCTGGTGCTGGTGCTGGTGGTACTGCATAGCGACGACTATTCTTTGCTCCGCCGTCGGTGTCTTCTCTGCCACCGCGAGACTACTTTCTTCGCCAGGTTCTTAGCCTCCCGTCTTCTACTAGCCTCCCGTTACAGCCCGGCTCTCCACTCCCTGCTCCTTCTCCCTACACTGAGCAGACAGACTCGCTTACAGAGCGTCGTGAGCCTGCGTCTCGTCCTGCCTCGCCTATTCGCGCTGGTCGCACTGGTCGTCGTGTTCCTCGTGAGCGTCCTCCTCCTGTTCCCAGCACGCACACTATGGCACTCCGTCCTTCTTCTGTTCCACAGCGTATTCCCCTGCCGTCTCCTCCTAAGTCCTCTCTTTTGCACGTTCCGGACCCTGCGTCTGACTTCGCTCGTACTACCAGTCCTACTGTCATCTGTCTCCTGGCCACTGTTGTCACAGACCCTTCGTTTGAGTCTGCTGCTGCGTCTGCCCTAGTTGCTGAGCTTGTCGACTTTGCTGTTCGCTTTCGTCTAGACTACGCCGCCAGTCTTGTTGCTGAGTCAGAGTCTGTCTGTCCTCCGTCCGTCGGGGGTGAGCGTGCTCTTGGCACGGACGTCCTTCAGGACAGGCAGGAGGACTTTGAGTGTTTTGCAGCTGCTGTAAAGCATCTCGTGTCCATGCTGATTGCACCTGAGGGAGACCCGGATGCACCAGACATCCCGACCCCGCGCTCTTATGTGAGAATAATACGAGGCAATGAAAATGACTAGGAAGCAGGTGGGTAGCTCCTGTGCAGCCATGGCCCCCGCGTAGATCTCAGCCTCACAACTGGAGCCGAGAATAGAAGATGAGCGTGTAGACCGCCACGAAACAGAGCCGGAACCAAGGCTGAAGGTGTAACCCTGTGACGACCGCTGCGTAGCCTGGTCGTCAGCCCAAGAAGCGTCTGCGTGACCCGTGAGGACCACTGGACGTCGCCCTCCAAGCACTAGCCCCATGCCCGATGTACTGCACAAGTAGCGCAACACCCTCTTCGCTGCAGCCATGTGCTCTGGTCGGTGTCTCCCA